ATTTATTTGTGTATATTGTTCTATGTAATTTCTCTGTTTCTTCTCATACCCACTTTGGAATTTATATTTTCCCAGAAATATGTTTATTTTATATAGGTTACCAAATGTATTATCATATAATCTTTTCTTTCTGAGTCATGAATTTTTCTACTACTTCTACCTTTCTGTCCATTTTTTTCTCTTCTTGGGGATTTACATTAATAATTCTATTGCTAGTCTACATCTACTTAAAATTCCTAGTAATCTTGGGGCGCCTGGGAGGCTCAGTCATTAAGTGCCTGCCTTCGGCTCAGGTCATGATCCCAGGGTCCTGGGATCGAGCCCCGCATCGGGCTCCCTGCTCCGCGGGAGGCCTGCTTCTCCCTCTCCCACTCCCCCTGCTTGTGTTCCCTCTCTCGCTGTGTTTCTCTCTGCCAAATAAACAAATAAAATCTTTACAAAGAAAAAATTCCCAATTATCTCCATCTCTTTTTCTGTTGCTTCTTGGGAAATTTCCTGGAGCTGTTCTTCCAGCCAACTACTTTACTATTTGGTTGCATTTATCCATTATGTATCCCTTTATTAAAGTGTTTATATTAAATATTACATTTATAGCCTTTCCAGTTGATTCTTCTTCAAAACTGATAGTTCCTACTTCATATTATCTTTTACCCCTTTTGATGATATTTATTAAGTGTATTATGAGTTTCTTTGTATTTCTCCAACCTATCACTTCTGGGAGATCTAGTATTCTCTTTTCAGTTGGTTGTCTTTCTTTTATAAAAGCAACTGTGCTGCTTGAATATCTGGGAACTTTTCCCTGGGAGCTCATTCTCCCTGGGGCAAGTCAGCTATCCTGCCTAGAAAGTATGTGAGTGTGTGTGTAGCGTAAATTCAAACACGTATGACACCCATTGGGTTTAATATGGTGGGAGGTGGTGTCTGGGGAGAGGGGAGGGTGGTGAGTGGCCTCCAGGGCAGCAAGTCGACCACCACCGGGCAGGATGGAGCCACTCATTTGCTGCCTATAGACCATTACCCTCCTTTACCTTCTCCTTCCTGGCCCTGCGCCTTCTGAGCATTCTCTGCTGGGTGTACATGCCGAGCCCTAAAGGTCGGAGGATGGACTAGAGAGGAAGAAATCAGCAGGAGCTGACATGTCCTCCAGCCCCTGTTTCCAACCTGGCCTCACCCGGGCTGGGAACTGACTCCTCTCTCATCGCGTCGTTCCCACACCAGCCCCCGCAGAGCTGGGCTGACACTCCTGGTACTACTGTCTCATAATGACAGGGAGCAGATAGTGACCCTTCAGGGTAAGAAGATACAAAGAAATGTGCCCCCATCTTCCCCCTGACTGGAAGCCCGGCACGTCCCCAACTGGGCTGCATTCATCGAACCGTACTCTCACTCCGATAAGAGGTAACTCGAAGTTTGGGTGAAGCAAGGCAGAATCCCTCCAACTAGTACTCCCAACCCAGGAACAAGCTTAGATATTAATACACGAGCTCATGGGCTGAGCCAGCTGAGCAGGGCTTTCCTGTGCCTCAGAACTGAAAGCATAGCAGGTGCACACAGACTGGGGGAAGGACCTTCCAGGGCACCCAAGGGACTTGGTGGGGCTGCCCTGTCCATTTTGAAGCTTAAGAGCTTTAGGCAAGAACTCAAAGGGTGTCATTTCTGGCACATCTGCCATCTGGCCCGGCAGGGACCATCCTGAGGAACTGACCAGTTAAAGCAAGGTCCTGGCTAGAGGAGACCTCCTCTAACCACATAACTTCCAGGGACCGGCAGGCCACCCGCCTGGTGCTCCAACACACTTCCTCTCCACAGCCCCTCCAAATCCAAGAGCGGGGCCCTCCTGCTGAGCCCCGGCTGCCAGCAGAACCAGCTCACCTTTTTTCCTCAGGGTTGCACAACCGGGAATTGACCTGTGGATGAAGAAAACCACAGGCGTCCAGTAAGTACTCCTTTGCAGGTCTCTAGGGGCCATGACCTGGGGAGACTGTTCCAGGCACCAAGTCTGGCTTTTCTTGTCTTTCCATGTGCCCAGCAGGGAGGGCTCAGTATAAATAGCAGCCACCTCTCCCCAGCAGGCAGGGACCAGCAGCTCTGCTCCACCGGAACTCAGGTGAGGGGCTACTCCAGGGAGGGACTCGTTGAAAAAACAACCAGACTCTCTTCTCTTTCCCAACAGGTTTAAAAATAATTATTCTGTTTTGTATTTGTCCTGTATGAGGTGTGTGCTTGCAGAGTGGCACACGGTAGACTGGTTGATTATAAGCTTTTTGGTTGAGGGCAGGCTGCTCTAGACTGGGACAAGGTGGTCCCAGCTGCCCTGTTCCTCCATCAGTGCCACGTTGGGGACCTCTTAGCCAGCCCTGGGGGGCAGGGCTGATAGGTTCAGCCAAGGGCTGTGGCTCCAAGTGAGGACCTACTGCAATGTTTCTTTCCTACATGGACCTGAAGAGTCTACTGAGAACAAATGGAATGAGCACCAGGCTCTCTGTGACCTGCCAATCCCAGAGTGGGGTGAGGGTCCTGTCCTTGCCCCCCTGACCCTCTGCTTCATTTCAGCACCATGAAGCTTTTCACGGGCCTCACTTTCTGCTCCTTGGCCCTGGGTGTCAGCAGCCAGTGGTATGCATTCTTCGGGGAGGCTGCTCAAGGTAAGGTCGCTGGACAGGGGCGGCAACCACGGCCCACTAGGATTTGCCCTGAGCACTTTCAAGGGTTGTAGCTGCTGTGTGAGCTGTGTTGCCCTATGTGGTAGAATGTGCCCAGGGTTTGGGGAGCTCTTCATCAAACAGGTAGGAAGCCACAGGATTTGTGTCCATCCGTTACCAGAGAAAGAGCAATCATCATTCCCAGCTGAAGGGTCAGTTTGAATAGAAGACACCGAATAAGTCTTGAAATGGCATAAAATTTCCTGCAGACAAAATGCACAGTGTATGATCAGAGTTGCCCACCTTTTCTTCTCCTTTCCCTCTCTCCCTTCATTCAGCCCTTCCTCCTTTTCTTCCGCCCTTCCCCCTTGCCTTCCTTCCCTCCTTCCTGCCATTTCCTGATGGGATAATTTACAGACACCTTCAGCTTAGCTCTCACTGAGGCTTCCTTTTGACAGTGACGCTCTCCCTGGGAGGTCTGTTTCCTACCCTTTCCTAGCCCTTAAGCAGACCAAAAAAAGGCGGGGGCACTAATAACATCTATCGAGCCCTCACTGGAATTCAGCACCTTCATGCAATGTAGAGTGACCAGCTATGCTGGTTTGCCCGGGTCTGCGGAGTTTTCCATGACACCGTCTGTGCTAACTGGGAGGCTTCGAGGCAAAGAGGGACACTACTGGTCAGGCTGGGACAGGTGCTCTCCTACTATGGCTTCAGAACACCTCAGTGAGGCAGGCATCTTCTCCACTAGAAGGGGAGCTTGCTAGAGAAGCTGAGTCCATTGTCAGGGACTAACCACGAGGCAGCAGGTCACAGAGCAGAGGGTGGAACCCAGCTGTGCCTGAGTTTAGAGATCTTGCCAGGTAGATGTGTCTGAGTATTACTCCCGAAAGCTGGGTGGCTCTCAACCTCCGCTACGTGTTGGACGCACCAGGACCGCATTACAAACCCCGGATGCCTGGGATGGATCCCCGCCCCCGCCCCAGAGGCTCAGGTAACTGGCCTGGGGTGTGACCTGGCCTCTAGGACTTTCAGAGCACCCCGGTAATTGGAAAGTGCAGCAAAATGGTGAGCGTTGTGAATTGTACAAGACTGTTGAATCACAGATCTGTACCTCTGAAATAAATAATGCAATATATGTTAAAGAAAAAAAGGAGATAGCAGGAAGTGAAAAATGAAGGAGGGGAAATTGGAGGGGGAGACGAACCATGAGAGACGATGGACTCTGAGAAACAAACTGAGGGTTCTAGAGGGGAGGGGGTGGGGGATGGGTTAGCCTGGTGATGGGTATTAAATAGGGCACGTTCTGCGTGGAACACTGGGTGTTATACACAATGAATCATGGAACACTACATCAAAAACTAAGGATGTAATGTATGGTGATTCACATAACATTAAAACAACTTAAAGAAAAAAAAAAAAGAAGAAAATGCAGCCAAGGATGCCTCATGGGCCAGGGCTCTAGCGCTTTCCTCCTCGAGCCACCCCCATCATTGGTATGGTCCATTTAGAAAGTTCTCAGGATGCCATTTATGCCCCTAATACTCACAGGGAATCGGGTCACAGTCACGTGCCTTCCCCCTGCAAGAATAGATTTCCTAGGACTCTGGGCAGAAGCACTGTACTCCTGGGCCTTTCTCAGGATCTGCCTTCCTGTCACCTGCTAACTTACCCAAGTCCCCTGGATCTTATCATTTGTGGCTTCGTTCTACAGCAGTGCTCCCCGTCGAAGGGCAATTTTGTGCCTGGGGACATTCGGCAATGTCTGCAAACAGTTCTGGTTGTGACCCTTGGAGAATACGTTGCCCACATCTAGTGGGCAGAGGTCAGGGGTACTGCTACGCATCCTGCAGTCTTAGGACAGGCCTGAGCAACAAAGAATTATCTGGCCCCAAACCTCAGTGGTGCTGAAGTTGAGAAATCCTGTTCTATAATTCCTCCTTCCTCTCCTTGAACAGCTCACATAGAGCCCTAAGGGGATGGAGCCCAGAGATAGCACAGGGTCAGACACACAGGTGCAACACAGCTGTGACCCACCCACAGCCCCTCGCTGGCGACACCTGGGGAAACAACCAGGAGGAAGACTTGTTCTTCTCAGCCTATGGTGCCCAAGGGTGCTGGGAGCATAGGCAGAAATCTTGAGTCAGTGGTAGATTTGTGGTTCCTTGATTCTTCGGAACTAGGGTGTGTCACGGGCTTTCTGTCCACCTGACATCTCTTTTGCCTGATCCTTTTCTCTGCAGGGGCTTGGGACATGATGAGAGCCTACTCTGACATGAGAGAAGCCAATTACAAAAATTCCGACAAATACTTCCATGCCCGGGGCAACTATGACGCTGCAAAAAGGGGCCCTGGGGGTGCCTGGGCTGCTGAAAAGATCAGGTAACATGGGCCCTGGGGATGCAGGGATGGGTGAGCCGAGCCGGGCACCCTTATTAGCCCAGAGGGGCCAAGCCCTAGAGAAGTTTCCTGTAGAGACTGTGGCTCCTCCTCTTGCCCACCCTCCCCTCTGTGCCCAGTGTGGGGTCTGAGTGGCTGACAGTCAGAGCAAGGCCCGTGGGAATGGGTGACTCCCGCCCTCCTGCAGGGGCAAGCGAACCAGCCTGGGCTAAGCTGGGCTGTCCCTGGAGCAGGGTCAGTGTTTCAGCCCCTCTGGTCTTGGCTCCTCTCAGCCATCCCTTGGGAGGAAGAGAGATTGGTGGGGGTGGGGGGATGTTGCTCCTCAGGCCCTACATAATCTCTTACCTGCCTTCCTCCATCCCAGCAACGCCAGAGAGAATTTGCAGAGAGTCACAGACCTTTTTAAGTATGGAGACAGCGGCCACGGAGTGGAGGACTCCAAGGCTGACCAGGCTGCCAATGAATGGGGCCGGAGTGGGAGAGACCCCAACCACTTCCGACCCCCTGGCCTGCCTGACAAGTACTGAGCTTCCTCTTTGTTCTGCCCTCGGGAGATGGGCTGTGAGTCCCTTGAGGGCGCGGTCACCCAGACACTGAGTTCTCTGTCCCCGGATGCTGGTGGAGGGCACCTAAGAGGTGTCTAATAAATGCTTGAAGAGATGGACTGTTGAAAAGTGTGTGTCACTCACTCTTGGGTGTGAGAACTGCTCTTTGTCCCCCAGGGGAGATGGATGGACACCCCCGTGCGGGTGGAGCCCTGGCCCCTGGGTTTGGTGTAGGGGGACCATCTCAGCATGACACAGGACAGATGCCCCGCACCCACCCCTCCCCGATCAGACCAGCTCCCCCGTCCAGGCCCCTCTGGTTGCTCCGGTGCTATTTCCAAGCCCTTCCATGGGTAATAGGGGTTACCCCTCACTGCCGTCCGTGGGGTCCTGTACCTTCTCTGTCCTCAGCGTCTGGTTCCCTTTGTTTTGCTCCTCAGTGGTCTCTGTCCCTGGGGGAGGGGACCCAGCCATGGGAGGACGGGACTGGGGCATCCAGCTCCGGCCACTGCCACCTTGATCTTCTGCTGGTGTCTCAGGAGCACCTCCCAAACCAATGAGAACCAGTTCTGTCCCTGCCATCTGAGAAAGGCGTCCAAGGCGGTTTTCCTCCACCTTATCTCACTGCCTTACTTCAAGCCTAAGTGAAGGCCTGATGCCACCTCACTGGTGATTCTCTCCTCACGGCCTCTGCTCCTTAACAGATCCAAACTGGGGAAGCGGTGGTGAGGAGCGAGCAAGGTAGAGAAGCCCCCTCTGTCATTTGGGGTCCAGTCAGGGGACAGAAACCAGGTAGTCATTTGAGATGGGAAATTCTAACAAAACGAATGATTAGCTGGGACATGACTAAACACTAAGGGGTACAGGATACACAAAGCTGAGCTGTGGATCTTGTTGGAAACTCGGTGGCCCGTTGGATGGCCCACAGAGATGCTGGGTGTCACAAGGCACAGCCCACAAACAAGGACTCCCCCCACTGAGGTGGCAGGAGGACACTTGGCAGGAAACGCCGAAGGCGGCAGTGGAACTGGGAACGTAGCTGGGGCTGCTACAAGCTCACCGGGAGGCAGCCCACGCGGGGTCAGGGGAAGATGCTGTCCGGGTGCCCGAGACTGGTGTGCAAGGGGCAGTGCTCTGGACTGAACTGTGGCCCCGCCTCTCATTCATGTGTTGAAGCCCCACCTCCAATGTGGTTGCCTCCTGGATTAAGGAAGTAATGGAGGTTAAGAGAAGTCGTAAGTGTGCAA